AAAGCTTTTTTCAGCTGTAAATTCTGGAAGGAGTGTCACATCCATAGCTTCTAGTGTTTGGTGACACTGGTGACAGTAATGAGACCAGGTCCCTTGGACCTCATGATCTGTCACTCTTGCTGTCTATGCCTTGCTGATAGTTTAAGAAATGTAGAAGTTGGCAGGTAAAATGTTCTATTCCTTATTGGCACATCCCCAAGGGATAAAGATTTGTATCCCTTCTGAAACTCACTTCTATTTTGGGGAATTTGGGTTCTTTTGCTTTATGGCTAGAGGCTGTTTTTCCTTCTATGTATTTGGGAGATGGGAAGAAGAGAGCACATCCATTGACCCTTTGTACCTCCCATTCATAGGTGTGGGTGCTTTCTCCATGCATTAATTTCTGCTGATGTCATCTCTTGAAGGGACATTCCCAGGAAGGCTGTGACAGTTCTGGGTCTCTGCAGCCAACATTCTTTCCATATGTTGATGGTTTATGGTGTACTGGAATCTTCCCTGGCTTGTGTCTCACCAGCCACACAAGCTGGAGAAAGGGACTGGAAGCCCTGAGCCCCACAACCTGCCTGCTGCGAGTTCCAGGAGCAGATTTTGTACCCTGGCTTGCTCCTGGAGCTCGTAGCAGGCAGGTTGTGTGGGCCAGGTGTCCCTTCCCAATGCCACAGCCAGGCTGGTGCCACAGAGCTGCCCTGTGGCTGCAGAATCCAGCACAGCCAGGGAGCTGCACCTTGGGCTGGCACACAGGCAACGAGGGGGATTGAGGCTATGAAAACCCTCTGCATCTCTCCAAACCTGGAGGTGGTGGCAGCTCTCATGGAGGTGCAGACAGTCTCTGATATAACTGCGCTCCAAAATTAAAGACAAATTAATTGCTTGCCCTAATAGCACTTTGTTTCAAAAAAACTTCCATTTCAGGCATTTAATTTTAGGAAAACACTGCTGATAAGTGTTGAGGCTGCTGGGCTTAACCTATGGGGAGGGAATTAGTTCAGGTCCTGAAAGCTGACTCAGATATTTTCAATTTTCCTGCCAGAAACCTACTTGCACAGATGAACAAATTACAGCAGAGTTACCAAGTCATATAGAAAGAAACTGGCTTCTTCAATATATATCAATTTCTGCTTGGGGAACAGTGAAATTCAGTTAAAGTCTGAGCTGCCTGTTCTGCTTTGAGCACTGGCAGAATTGAGCTGGTGTCAGCCCTTTTTCTTTCATTAAACTCCTGAGAACCCTGAGGTAGTACATAAATGGAAAAGCAGTGGGGGGAAAATCCAGTGCAGAGGAAATGGCAGAGAGGTTCTGCTACAGCTGTGGAGGAGAACACAATTTCCCTCAGCATGTGGAATATCTGACTTTGCCATGTGTTTGTGCAGGTTGTCATGTCCACATACACTTGGAGAGGAAAAGGGATGTTCTATGGGTGGACGTGTACAAATGTACACAAAAAATAGCAGTTGTCTGTACTGCATATGGAGTGGGTTTGGGACCAGTTTCTGAGTGGTTCATGGAATTTGCCTGTGGTGCAAATGAGCAGCAGCATAAGAATTTTAGAGTTGTTTTGTTGTTTGTATTTTTTTCTTCTTATATGGAAGAGAAAAAGACAAGGCCTGTCATGGATGGAGCCACTTTTTGCCTTGGGGAGCTCCCCAGCTGTCCGTCTTCAGAGCTAAAACATAAATTTTGAGTGACTGATTAGAGATGGAAGATGGGGGTCCCAGCTCATTTTAGCAAATTAATTTTATCATATAAATTCCAACAGGGTGCATGCTAGCCAAAGATCCCAAAGAACTGGTAAGAAGAGGAATTAGCTCTTTAATCCTAGATATAGAGCTCCAAACCCAGGCACAGCATAGAACCAACTATAAATAATTCCCTAAATTGTTTTAGATTTTTGTATGTTTAATCTAGTTGTCACAACCTAATGGCTGGATGGTCTGTAGTCTTGCATATCTGATCTCAGAAGGGCAATACTATTCAGGTCTTAATGTGGATTATGTTTTTTAAGACTGCTTTTATTCCCAGATGAAATAAAAATCTTATTACTTAAGTTTGAATACCACTGGTTCAAAAAACATACTTTAAATATTAAACAGATATTTGGAGTGTGTCAGCATGGGATAAGCCAGGAGAAGGATCTGAGGAGGAACTGAGAGGGAAGAGTGTATGTGTTACTTGTTGCAGATGATTTCATGGTATTGGGCATCTGATTCCATGGTATTGATGAAACTGAGTCACTCTACCACAAAAGGAACACTTGGTACAGTTTTCCTGCTTTGCACAAGGATTGTAAGAGGAACCTTCTCACAGCGTTGTTTGGAGGAAATTCCTACCCAGTGCATTCACTGGGGGCAATACCAGCTGGTGAGCACAGACTTGTGTCATTTTTCTGTAGGTATTTCAAATTTCAGGAACATCCAGTGCATTTAAAAACTTGTCATTCTCCAGTTGTAGGTAACACTGCCCATTTCATCCCAGGCAGGTGACTACTTTGCCTGTCACCCTCTCTGTGATCCAGCTCTAAACCTCCTCAGAAACCACAGCCAGCCTGCAGTTCCCTGCTTTCTAATTCTGCATGACTAAGCCTTTCAGCACGTTATAAATACTGTTGCTCATTCAAAATACATTGGTTACCTGTGCACCAATGACTGCCAGCATATTTCTGCAGTGGAGTGGTTGAGCATTGGGAAATTGGCAGAAATTAAATCCCTTGAGTCACAGTATTGCCCTTTCTGCTCACACCCACGTGTGTGAGTTCCGTGTGTGCAGCTTGTGGGAGATGTATGAACGTGAGCAGCACTGCACGCACCCTGCCAGCAAACAAGGAACCTGTATTCCTGCAGAAAATGCATATTGCTCCACAATTCACACCAAAATATGAGGAAGTGAAGAGTACACAAAAGTATTTTGTTTTTGTGGCTGTTGGAATCCTCAAAATGTTCTTTTCAACCAGGGAATACAGTGAGGAAAACAATGCAAACATGTCAGTGGTAGATTTTTGTCTGCTGATGGATGTATTTATGACTGAGGCACATGCTTGGAGTCTGCATGGTGTTTTCCATGTTTGTGAATGAGACTTGTACTCTAGCTTGGATTTGTTGTAGGCACAAAATCAGTCATTTCCCTTGACTTTTTCCTATCTGAAGAAGGAGAATTGGTAATTGCTCATTTTTCCCAAAGCACTTTCATGGTTAAGGACATATCATAAGCACAGAATCACAGAGGAAGGGAAGGAACTTAAAATTCATCCCATCCCACCCCCTGCCATGGGCAGGGGCACCTTCCACTGTCCCAGGTTACTCCAAATCCCATCCAACCTTGCCTTAGACACTTCCAAGGATGGGGCAGCCACAGCTGCTCTGGGCATCCTGTGCCAGGGCCTCACCATCCTCACAGGGAACAATTTCTTCCTAATATCTAATTTAAGCATGCCTTCCTTCAGTTTAAATCCCTGCTGTTCTTCTCACAAATTATCTACAGAATAATGACAGCAAATTGAGGATTTATAGAGGTTAAATTTGTAGAAATACATTTCCCCGTGCTTACAACTTTCTGCATTGACTGCTTCATTTCTGTCCCTGCAATTATTTCTGGGTGTAGCTCAAGCTGCTTAGATGGCTGAGAGTTTGTTCTCATGTATCTGGTATTCAGGCATCAAAGCATTGTGTCTTAGCCTGCACTTAGCAGCACCCAGAAAACTGCAGGGGCAGTGAAAGAGCTTAGGTTGAAAATCAGGTCCTCACAGTTCATGAAAGTGTTGATTGAAATGGGCCATTAAAAAAATTCTACTGGATAAGCAAATTCTTTGTGGCCATTTTGGATTGAGTTGTGCTGAATGTGAGGTGTATCCTTGTGGCATTCACATTCTCTGAACAGAGAGAGGAAAGAGAAAACAACTCTTATCTTTACTTGCTGCTCCTGTTGTTTTTGCACATGTGGAATATTAGGAAGATTGTTTACCTGAAGTGATTTGTCAGTTGGATTCTGCTGAGGATTGTTTTGTTTCCTTGGCCAGTTGGAAGAAGCTGTGTCCTGACTGTCTGGAGACAGTCATGATCTTTCTTTAGTATATATAGTATAGTACAGTATAGTATAGTATAGTATAGTATCCTTTTAGTATTCTTTAATATAGTACAGTATAATGTAATATAACGTAGTTTTAATAAAGCAATTGTTCAGCATTCTGGATCAATGGAGTCAGCTTCCAGTCATTCCCAGATGTTGGGGTCGCCTGTTTTTTGATATATCCTCACCCTGTGGGATTGCCCTTCAGCCAGCCAGGCAGGTGCTCCCTGGGCAGCTGAATGCCTCCTGCATGCCCCTGCCCTGTGTGGCTCTGGATCATTCCCTGCAGGTCCTGCTTGCAGAGGACACAGATGTTCCTGGGTTCCCAGTGAAGCTCAGGTCTCCTCTGAGAGTTTTGGGGAGGTGTCTGCTGCTGTTCAAGGCAAGTGGAGTGAGATGGGTGCTTAGCACCTTTGAAAGATTCCATTACTCCATAGCTTTTAGTGAAGGAAGACATTTAGTTTGGGGGGTTGCAGGTTCCACTCTTTCCCAGCTTTGAATAGCCTTTAGGATTTCCCAGTAGAACCTGTCCTTGGCACACTGGGAAGGATGGGTTGTGCTCAGCAGGAGTTGCTGTTCCTGGATCCCAGAGCAGGGTTTGTTACACTCACCCACCTCCCCAGGCCTTCCCAAAGCAGCAAGAGTGAGCTGGGATCTGGCAACAAACTGGGGGTCTTCTGCCTCTTTTTCGACATGTTCTTGAATGTCACTGAGTAAATGTTTCATTATTACTTTTCTTTCATGCCTATAAATCTTCACAAAAACTTATCGTCCCTTTCTTCTGGGCAAAAGACAAATGAAACAGCTCTGAAGTTCTAAAAATAAATGCATACAGGAGCATCATTTTCCAGTCACATGAACTTGTATTTCCCTGACTGCTGTCCATCCTGAATTAAAAAAGCCAAGGGGGGACCTGCTAATGTTTCTATTTCTTTTCTCAGTATTTCTGGCTCTTTGTGCTCTCCCGGGGTTTGGTTGGCATTGGTGAAGCGAGTTATTCTACTATTGCACCAACCATCATTGGAGACCTGTTCACCAAAAACACAAGGACCCTGATGCTCTCTGTTTTCTACTTTGCAATTCCTCTGGGCAGGTAAGTGACACAAAGATTCTTCAATCTGCTTATGGCTTCTCTCTTAAATAAACTCACATAGATCTGAAATTGCTAATGATGATAGTTCTTGACCTTGGCTGGAATGTAGACAGGAAAATATTGTGAGCAGTGACTAATTAGTTGCAGGAATTAGATTCTTTTTTTGCCCTGTTACTGGTTCATGTGTGACTTTTGGGAACTAATGGGAAGTTCGTTGTTGGTTTATTTAGTTTTTTTCCTCCATTTTTACAGCAATGGGGTGGAAATGGAATAAAAATATTTTAGCTGACTTTTTATTCCAGTGGAATTTCTTTATCAGCCCAACACAGTATCTGATTGTTGGGACAGGAGGGAATCTGTCATTATTTTTATTTTTTTAAAATAATGGCTGACCCTCTATTGTGGTATTGTCAGCAAGGTGGCTTTGCATAGTTTGCATAGTTTCCCAGAGCTGGACAACATCCTGGGAAAAAGGGCAATATGGGTTCATTTCCAGCAGGGAATCCATGGGCAACATGTTCCAAACTCAGAGAAAAACTTCTGGTGGTGCATTTTACAAGCTGGAGCACTTACCTGTGAGATAAAACTCACAAACATCCTTTTGCTCTTGAGGAAATAGAGAGAAACAGATCCTTAACTGGTGAAAAGAGTATTTTGCCAAGAGGACCAAGGATTCCAAGTATTCACATAGAAAATTCAGTGAACTTAAAAGAAATTACAAATATTCATCCTGTTGAACCTGATTCTGGGACTTCATTGTCTCAACATCCAGCAGCAGCGTGGATTACAAAGCCATGGAGGATAGGACAAGGGGTGTAAACTGAAAGAGGCTTTGATTGGATATTAGGAAGAAATTCCTCCCTGTGAAGGTGGTGAAGCCCTGGCACAGATTCCCAGAGCAGCTGTGGCTGCCCCTGGATCCCTGGAAGTGCCCAAGGCTGGACAGGCCTTGGAGCAGCCTGGGACAGTGGGAGGTGTCCCTGCCATGGCAGGGGATAGAACTGGATGAATTTTAAGTTTCTTCCCAACCCAAACCAGTCTGTGATGATTCATGGCTTGATTTTGGGGCCTGTCTGGGTAAAATGCCCAGTTCTAGGGAGGTCTGACAACCTCCAAAGCTTAGCAGACTCTTCAATAAAGGAAGGGGGGTCAGGGAGGGGGTTCACAGTTGTCCCATTGCAATCCTAGGAACTTTAGCCAAGGCAGTCTCAGCAACAAATGCAGCAGTTTTGAAAAAGGGTATTTACTTCAGTTCATGTTGAGAGAAATGTGGCTATGTTCACCTTTAGTCTCTTGTGATGCACCTTTTGTCTTACATGTGGCTGAAGGTCTCCCAACAAACTTCTTGTATGTTCTTCTTGGTTTTTCTTCCAAGCTAACAGCAAGCAGTCTCTTCCTGCTTAATTAGAACCAAGTATTATTTAGTGGCAAGAAGAAAAATAATCTAATGATGGAATACAGCCTGTCCTTGAAGGGCACTTTTTAACAGAAAGCTTGAACATAAAATTGTTCAATATTCATATAAGTACAGAGAAAGGCCTGATGTAGAAGTGAAATTGGGAAATAAATTCTTTTAAAGTCTTTCTTTCCATCCACTGTAGATTGAAAGGTCAGCTATAAACTTCCAAATTTCCATCAGATTTGGACATTTTTAGATCAGCACTGCTGGGTAGAGTCACATAGTAGCCACCATCTGCTTCTATCCCCATCTCTCTTCCTGTAGGACAAGAGAGCTGAGGGCACACAGTTGGTTGTGCCTCTCTTTGCCTTTGTCTAAGAACAGCTGTGAGTGTGGCACACTTCAGGCTCTGACCAGCTCTCTCTTGGCCTTTCTTGCAGTGGCTTGGGGTACATCACTGGCTCGAGTGTGAAGCAGGTTGCTGGAGACTGGCACTGGGCACTGCGGGTAAGTCCCTCTTAATGGCACACCTTAATGAGAGCTGGTTGGTTGATTAGTGTTAGCAAGAGCTCCATCACACAATGGCCCAACCTGTTATTGTACCTGAAAGGTGAAGGATTGGAGGTCACATCTGTGGGTGTTGAGTGCATGGCAGATGCACTCTCTAAGCAAAGATTTGTGAGTTTGTGGCACTTGGAGTTTTCCCTGCTTGGGAGCAAGAATTTTCCAATCACTTTGTTATCAATCAATCAATCAATCATGACTTTTTGATGGGGGCAGGAAGATGAGGCATTGGCCTTAAATCAACTCCACAGTCTTTCAGTCTCCTGCTGTCAAGAAACTCTGAGAATGGCTTCCGGCTTTGAGGAAAAAACACTTTGTTCCAGTTTCCGCTTGTTTTTCTGCCCTGAGACACTCCATTTCCTTCTATTTTAACCTCTTGGGACCCTGATAAATGGGCTGAAAAGATAATCCACTCCAATCACATGCTCACAAACAGCTTCTGCACACAAAGATGTCTTGAAAGAGCCGAGAGGAAGTGGCCCAGCAGAACTGGTTTCTGACCTTTGGTGCTGTGGGTGGCATGTGAGGTGCATTCTCTGGCTCTGGCACTTCATGGGGACCATGAATGTCATGAAGCTCAGGCCAGCACTGTTTATAACAGTTGGTGATGAGATGCAAGGGTTCCCATCTGAAGCAAATACACCCTCTGTGACACAGGCCATGCCCAGGGTAAGCAAAGCCAGGAGCATCACCATGAATGGTTCATCTGGGAGAGTGGAGGGCAGTTTCCAGCTGTGCACCTGGAGTGGAAAGTGGAGTAGCCTAAAGCTTCCCACCAGGAGGATGCTGCCTAATTAGCAGAAATATTTAAGAGTAACATGAACTTTTGAGCAGAGGCAAACGCAAGAAGTAAAAACCCCAAAGCCTGTCCTCTGGTCAGTGGGCTTTAACTGGAGCACTCTTGGAAAACCCAAATGGTTAATCTGTGAAAAGAGATCACTACTAGAACTTTTCAGGTGGTGTCTTCATAGTTATCCTGAGAAATCCAGCTATCTGCAAGACTGTACCCCTTACAGCTCATGATTTCTACTATGAATGACACATTGGGGCAGGATTCCCTGGCTGTACAAAATCTGGGGAATCTGATGAGCTGCACACATCTGTGGGGGTTGCTTTGAACACCATTGCTCAGTCTTTGTAGTCACACAGCACATCTAAAAAGCATCCAGACATCAGTGTAAAGCAGCTTCCATCCCTGTGGCAATTATGTGCTCTTACAAGATAGGAATGACTCCCCAAGATGATGCTTCCCTCTGTGATCTCCTGTGGGCTCCAAATACAGAAGAGGTCAGGAATAATCCACACTTCAGTGGGCTGAAAAAGACAGCAGGGCACATGGACAAGTGGCAGCTTTGTCTCTAGATCTAACAATAAAGCAAGTGTTTCACTGCAGCATTACTGAGTGCCCATGGATATTGTCCTGATGGGTACTTAAGCTTTTAGATAAAAATCAAAGACACTTGCAATCATTTGGCTGTAGAAAAAACAGCATTTCCAATATTTTTTACCAGTTCTGTGTCTTCTGTTCACGTGTCATAAGGATACTGTATCAGGCTTCAATGTATTCCTGGATGAGTGATTTTCCTGACTTTTAAATTCTGAAATACTTTTGTCTTTCCTTCCCTAGAAGGATTGTGAGTTTGTCATCTTTGGACATGAAATACTGTTCCATGTGTAAAGGCAATTCTTAGGTTAATAATGGAAGCTTTTTTTTTTTTTTCTTGGACAGGAATTATTTTTTAAATAGCATGTCTAGATGAGATGATAGTTCAGTGAAATCCATGTTCCTATTTTCCTGATGGAGCTGTTTTCCATTCTGACAATAATGGAATTTCAGTGTCAAAACAGGAATAGTTCTTATAAATGCTGTGGGATCTTTGTATTTTTGCCTGGTGCCTGGGAGAAAGGGTTGGATATTGGGAAACCAAGCCCTTGAATGTGTTGTTTCCCTATCTTCCAGCCTGAATTTCAATGTTTCTTGGTTGGTTGTACTGAGGAAGATGCCTGAAAACAGGAAGCCATTGTGGGTTGGCTGGAAGAGGGATGTGTATCAAGCAAGGGTTTTCAAAACCAGCATGTTCCCTACATCCAGAGATCTTTCAGCTCAATCTTAATTGCCTTTAAATGGCCTCTGCACTCACCCAGAAACCAGCTGGTCTCTCAGCCCAGCTGGGAGTAGGTTTCCAAAGAGTTAAACATCACTCAAGAATCATGTTTAGATGAATCTTGGTACTTATTAACACAATGGACTGCCTTACTCAGGGTAATTTCAAAGCTGCATGTGTCCAGAGTGAGATGAGAGAGCCCAGGGAATGACATGGAGGAAGGACAGGAGCAGATGCCTCGATGCTCACAGGTTCTGGCTGGCTGTGAGGAGCAGTCACTGAAACCAAAAGGATGTCTTCTGCTTCTTCCTGACCAGTCAAAGCAAACCCTCCTGGCTCCTGTGCTAATTCCCTGCTCCTTTCTTGCAGGTATCTCCACTCCTGGGAATGATAACAGGAACACTCATCTTGATATTTGTGCCTGCTGCTAAAAGAGGAAATGCTGAACAGCTTGGGGGGCAGCTGAAGGCTCGGACTTCATGGCTGAGAGACATGAAAGCATTGATTAGAAAGTAAGAGCATGAGTAAAAACCATGTTTTGCCTCTGGAACATCCAGTGGTCTGGATTTAGCACAGTGAGACTGGAAAGTGATGACATGCAGGGAGTTGCAGGAAGTTTAGTCTGTGGACCTAGGGAAGAAAATCACACTTACATGAGGTATTGACTGCTGTGACAATGATGAATTCCAAGTTTTGCTCTAACCTTTCCAAGACTGGCATCTAAGAAAAAGCTTGCTTTGCTTGGCTCATACTTCACACAAATCAGGGCCTTTGAAGTGTAGAAATTGCTGTGTTCCTGTATTAATTGTTGTGCCACTGCTGTTCAGACACTTAGATCCTTTTTCTTCTTTGAAAGAGCTATTCTGCTGAGGGGGAAAAGAGTTTCAGCAATTTAAGATAAAAAACCACACAGAAGCTTGAACTATGGCAAGTTTAAATATATCTGAACAACCACAGGTGGCTGAATCCATGAGAACTGAATGTGCTTGGGCACTTGTCTGTGTGCATAAAGGTTCATATGCTCACAAGTGCTTCAGCAGCTGCACTTCCTTCCAGAAGTCTGGCCTGTGAATGTGCAAATACTTTCACTTGTGAATTCAGGGTTACCTTGTAATTCTGATGGGAAATTTATGATGGAACACCTGGCTAGAACACCTCCCTGGTATTGTCATCCAGGGCCAAAGGACTATGAAGAGCAATGTGAGCTAATTTAGCATTATTTCTATGTTACTGCCTTTGGTAGTTTGTGTAAGTAGTAACCATATGGTGGCATGGATGGGGAGGGAGAAGTGACACTGCTCCTCCAAGTAAACAGGTGACATTAGGGTGAAAGCCCTGAAAGTCACATATCCTGTCTTAGTGACCAAGTTCTGATTGCCTTCTCAAACAGCCCCTGGGTAGCACTCTGATGAGTTCAGTTTGTTATTATAAGTGGAGCATCACATGTGGATATTCCATGCTTCTTATTCTCCATTCCTTTTTGCCTTGTGTTACCTCTGCCCCTTGGCAAAGAGAAGTGGCAGGTGTGGGGGGACACTGGCCTTTGTCACTGAAGCCTGGCTCCTGCATGGGGGTCCTGCTTTTCCATTTGTTTCACTGAACCTTCTCTTGGTTTTGTCTCCCAGCCGCAGCTATGTGTTCTCATCCCTGGCCACCTCAGCTGTCTCCTTTGCCACGGGGGCCCTTGGAATGTGGATCCCTCTGTACCTTCACAGAGCACAGGTTGTGCAGAAGACAGCAGAGACCTGCAGCTCCCAGCCCTGTGGCACCAAAGATAGGTGAGAGCCAGAGTCAGCTGCTTCACACAGGGGGAGAGGGGGTGGGGGTTATTTACCAGAGGAAACAGGCAAGTCCCACAGAGACAAGGTACTAGAATGTCTGTAATTTCCTCTAGGTCCTTGTAACAATGATAGGAAATGCTGGGGTTGTAAACTAGGCTTTATTTCTCTTCTTCATTGCATGAAGTCAAACCAAGGGAGAAGCAATGACCTCAGCTCTGTCTTAGTTCCCAGGCTGTGGTGCAGAGCAGAAAAGAGAAATCCTCTAAGGAGGATGTTTGGAGAGCTGAGAATTTGGTTCCTTAGGACCCAGAATAAGCTGGCAGGTTAGGAAGCCCCAGTGGTGGCTGTAATTCAGTGGTTGGAATGGTTTCCCTAAAGCTGCAGGGACTAATCCTGTAGGCTTTTGTTTCTCTGTGGGGCAGGACTGATCTGTTTTATTGCTCTGTAAACTGCTGTGTGTGCTGAGTTTTGCTGAAGATGTCCCAGACATCTGGGACACTTTGGGCTGGAGTGTTTGATGTTTTACAGTGGTTTGTTTTCAGTCCTGGTTATGGAATATCACTTGCAACACATAAGCTGTGAAAAGTAATTCTTCATTTTGTGATTTACATTGGGGGCACAAACCAAGAAATGCTATAAAAGCATTCCTCCAGGTAAATAACAGATACTAAAAAAGCCTTTTGTCAGATCTTTTGCTTTTTAGCTCATGAGGGAAAATAATATTAGGAAAACCTTCTTCCCATAACATAATCCCATCTCAATTAAAGTAGTTAGTGGTGTGGAGTCCATCAACCAGGGTGTCCAGCAGGCAAGCTCAGGCTGTTCCACAAAAATGCAGTGAGCCAAACACACAGCTCCAGCCTGACTGCCTGTCTGCTGTTTACAAAGAGAATTTCCCCCTCCTTGATGACACCTCAATTTTGAGCTGTCCTCAAGCTACTCTGATGTGGTTGCCCAAGGCCCTGTAATCCAAGTCCTGCACATATCATATGGAGAATCCTCCTGGCTCTTTAAATTGAAATTAACTCATTTCAAATGTATAACCTAACAGCAAAAAGCTTCTTTGAAGTGGCCTGAAAGGAGTTATAAAGTCAAAGTATGTTGGAAATCACTGGTGTTTAAGAGTCCTGTTAGGTTTCCTTGCCCTGAAGCTTCCTGGTGCCTGTCCATGATTTCCCCTCATGTGATCAATGAAAGGTTATTAATTAGTTTTTTGCATACATAATTAGCTGGGCAGGCTCTTCCTAGGAATCCCAGTTCCACTGAGGGAAGCAGTGTGAGCCCTTTGCACCCCTTTGCCCATAGATCACAACCTGTGTACAATGATCAATTTCCTGTGCTGTGTTTTCCTTAATTGCAGGGGGAAAGGGCTAAAATCATGAGCATTTGTTTTATTTAAAATTTGCAAAGCCATTATGCAAATGGTGCAAATTAGTCAGTTTACCCTAATAATTATATTATTAATAATAAAATAACAATACCTAATAAAATAATAATAACTAATAAAACAATAATACATAATAAAATAATAGTACCTAATAAAATAATAATACCCAAAGACTATGCCCATTTTGGGGAAAAACTAAAAAAAAATCCTCCCACATTTCTCTTATTTTCTTTCTTTCTTTCTTACCTTTTTTTTTTTTTTTTCATTTTTTATTTTTGGACAGTTTGATTTTTGGAGCAATCACGTGCTTCACTGGCTTCCTGGGTGTAATCACAGGGGCAGGAGCCACCAAATGGTGCAGGTCCAAGACCCAGCGAGCTGATCCTCTTGTCTGTGCTGTTGGGATGCTGGGCTCAGCCATCTTCATCTGTCTGATCTTCGTGGCAGCCAAGAGCAGCATTGTGGGAGCCTATGTAAGTAAAATCCTTTCCATATGCCAGCCCCTAGCAAACTCCTTGAGGGCTGTGTGCGTTTCTGTCCCCTGCAGAAAGCCTGGGATGTTCTCTTTGCCCTTCTGAATGTCCTTCTTTTTGCCTCTTGGCATGCTGGCACCATCTAAGTGTGCCTGAAATCTCAGCTGCTTATCCCTGCTGCCATCAGAATTCAGAGCTCCATGGAAACCCACAGCCTTTGGGCTGTTCTATCTGCACCTCAATCCACACCTTTATTGCTCTTGCCTAATGTTTTGGTACAGGAAGATTGAGCACTTCCCTTGCAGTGAGGGTGCTGTAGCTGCAGTGGTACCAGATGACAATTACAGTCTAATTTGTCTGTGGGCAAGCTTCTGGCTCCCTTCCAGTACCATTCATTTCCACAACCAGGTGGATTGCACCAGGCCAGTATTAATAACCCAGTGATTTCAATTTGTTATCTGTGTTACCATAGCCCAGGAACCTACAGTGCTTGATGCTGCACAAATGCAGATTAAAATGTGGCCCCTCCCTGAGTGCTTATAATTGAATTATATGAAAAGATATCAAATAGATCCAGATAAATAGAATGGTTTGGGTTGGAAGGGACTTTTGGAGGTCATCCAACCCCCACTTGCACTAGACCTTGCTGCTGGGAGCCCCCTCCAATCCGGCCTTGAATATTTCCAGGAATGAGGCATCCACCACCTCCTGGCCACCCTGTGCCAATGCTTTACCACCTTTTAAAAAACTCCTTCCTTACATCTCATCTAAACCAACCCTCTTTTAGTTAGACTAAAGGGAAAAAGAAAAGCTCAACTGAAATAATGCAGCCTCAGGCTAGAATCTTGCTTTCAGCAGGGAGTAGAAATCCAGGCACTGAACAAGTCTCTGCTTCCCTTTTAATGTCAGAATGAGAGAAGCCTGGGACCTGGGAGAAGTTTATAAAGGGAAAGTATGAGATGTTTGGAGTAGTGGGCTCCCTTCTGAAAGCCCACCCTTCCCTTCCACGCTGCAGCACCTGCTCATCCAGCAAGGAGAATTCCTGTACAAGTGACCAGCCAAGTGCTGTTCCTCCTTTCTCTGTGTTTCCACACTGGCCTGGCCATGGTTATTTGCTGAGTCTCTCAGCAGCTGCCACACTTATGAGCAAGCACAACCAGAAAGAGTGAAAGTTCAAAATCATTAAGACACAGCCAAGAATACCTCCTCTGGCTATTTAAGATTCGGGTCTCTGGTTTGTGACCATGAACTAACATTTGAACTGGCAGAAAATGCTCACCTCAGCCAGCCTGTTAGAAGGTGTTACTGGTTACCCTCCTTTCATTGACCTATCACACCCCTCACCTGCTCCCTCCACCTCTTTGTGCAGACAGAGCTGTGATTTTGTCCTTTCCCAGACCTAGTGACAGACATGTTCATTTGTGGTGTTCAGTCTCTTTGTACAGAAACTTCTCCCTTTCTAGGCTGGAAATACTGTTTTCAGAAATTGTGCAGCAGGAGGTGGCTATTAATCTCATTTTTATCTTTTTTTTTTCTATTTTTTTAATAGCCATGTGACTATTCTGCATTGTTTAAGTATATAAATATAGATGGTATCATTTAAACAATCCTTGAAGCAATTTATTTTATTATGGATGAGCAGTAAATCTAATAAAGAGTCAATGATTTGCAAAGGAAGTTAGAGCTGCATATGGAGGTGGTGTAGGGAATATGAGCCTATTTGTGATCTATTAGGCTGAAGCAAGAAGCTCTGCCTCTCCACAGCCCCAAATACTCTGCTGCTGGAAACCTGATGCCCAGAAAGAGGGGACAGGTCTGGCTTGGAGCTACCAGTGTCTCATTATTGTAGCAGAGCCACACTGAATTGACTTTCCAAGGCAAGTTTCTAAGACAAACTCGTGTTTTTCCACGCCATTCAGAGAGCTGTTGCAATCTTGCAGACTTCCAGAGAGTTCCATTCCCTTGTATTTCAAGGAGAAGAGGAGTAGGGGGCCTGCATTGCCAGGTTGCATGCGTAGCAGTTTCTCATTGCTCTTTGTTTTAAGTCTCATTGGTCCATAATGAAGAGTTCTGTGGCTGGTGGGCAGAATGATGGGCCAGGTTACCTTCCTTATCTCAAAGTCCATGATGAAATCTCCTTCTGGAAACAGTGCAGTAAAATTTATGGGTTGATTTTCCTGTCTCTGATGTCTTCCTTGACAGCTTGTGCTGGCTCACATCCTTGAGTTCTGTGTCTGTGGAAGGCAAGGCAATGTCTGTCCCCCAGCATGGTGGTATTTGCCAACCTTCTGTACTGTGGCTGTCCTCAGGCTTCTGTCATGGATCACACCGTGCAAAAATTGACAGTGAATGTTTTTGCAACCCTCCTTGGCTCAGAGCCTTAAAATTCTCACTTCCAAGCCATTAGGTGAGTTCCCATGAGATGATGTTCTCTCTCACTGGGAGAGAGAGCTGCAGTGGCCACCAGATCACCATCTCCCTCCCTGCTTTAGTTAACAGTTGAGAGCTTTATTGCTGACTGATACAGGCATCAGCCTCAATGAAGTGTTCAGCACTCCAGCAAGAGCCTGCAGAGCCCTTGCTTTTTAATTTCTTGGTTTTATAGGTTTTTATCTTTCTGGAAAAGACCTGAATTTCCATTAACAGGATCACCCTGCCCCTTACATGCTGTGTACTGTCTGCTCTCTCCCTCCCCTGAGCTCTGTACTGTTTCTCTCCTGCTCTGTCCTTTCTTGTAATTGATTTTGGTCCCTGGGGGCAGTTGCTGTTCCCATTCTGTAGCAGCCACTCCCACCTGAGGCAGGTAGACAGGTGACTTTATTCCAGCCAATCTTTTCATACTGATACAGTAAATTATTGGCAGTGGTAAAGTGGCTGGCAAGGTGGACTAAAACAACAATTCTGTATAATTTAGCTGCCCAGACACCTGTATTTCTCTATTTTACTATCTTGCTTGGCTGTATAGTCCAATCACTTCTTACTCAGTTTGCCTTGCAGCGTGTGGATTTGTGTGTTGTAATCCAGCTCCTTAAAGCACCAATTTGCATATCTGTAAGTCCCACTTTTCCTGAAATGCAAACTCTTTGAAACTTGGTTTTCAAACCTGTCTCTGGAAACCCATTATGTGTGTGGCATCATCATCTCACAGTGCTCAGACTTTTCAACTGCAGATTTTACACTTGTTTAAATCTCCAAGTGACTGGAGAGAGGTGCTCTGCTTTGCCTTCCTTTGACACTGTTCCAAATTCCTCAATTTCAACATCTATTTCAATTCCTCAAAGACATTTTATGGTCTTGCAGAAACAGCAAATCCCAGGGTAAAACCTTGCCAGAGAGCTTTTACAGCAGCTTAGTCTCAACCCCAGGGACTTTCTGTTGTCATGTTGTTGGTGACCTGCCTGCTTCTGAGGCATCAATATTGCCCAGAACTGAGCTGGAGGCAGAATTGCTCCAAATTCAGGAGTACCTGAGGGTGTGTTACCTACCATTTCAGAGAGAAATACAAATAATGAAGATACTGATAGATACACCCTTTGCAAGCAGTCATGGAAGGCATTTGTCACCTGCTTAGAACTTGCTGTGAGAGCTGCTGGTGTGTCCACTCTGAACCCTGCTTTATTTATCATTTTTGGGAGTCAGAGTTGGCTAACTGATCACTTAAACAGAAAAGCACAGATGAGCAATCAGACACCAAATGGACGTGGTGAGATGTTACACAGCACAGCTGGAGCCAGAAACAGATTTATATGTAGAGGTGAAGTCTCAGTGTAAAATGAGGCTTCAAGAAGTGTGTGAGGAGTCCAAACTGAGCATTTCAGGAGCTATAATCTGCTCTGGGGCTGCCCTATTTGCTGGAAGCTTCCCTGGAGCCTCCCTTCTGCAGAAATGCCACATATCCTAACATGCCCTTTGCAGTGGGTGAACTCATTTTTACAAGCCCCCATCAGCAGCTGAAGGACAGAGGTTTTTAATGTATCTTCTATCCTGCTTTTTGATCTTCCTCTTGTTCCTCTTTTTCTTTTACCAGTACCCAGCTATTAATCACATGTTTCATGGATTGGTTGAAACACACATTCATCAGCTCAGAACTGGTGTGCTCTGAAGTTTGCAGCATTTCAGTGATTTATTTAAAGGACTTGTGCTAAATTCCTGCACAAGGGACACGTTCTTGCTGCCTGTAGCAATTCAAATGTGTGCAGTTCATACCAGCTGAAGGCAGCAGTTGCCTGCTTGCAGTGCTGGCAGGACAGGCTGATGCTGCATTGAGAAGTGTGATTCCACTGTTGCCAAGCTCAGTTTGGTCTCTTCAGCCACAGAACCCAGCAAGAGCAGCTGCAAAGCTGTAGCAGGACAGATTTCAGAGCAGGTCTGAGTATGGATCTGGTACCCATGGGACACATGGCATCAACTCCTGAGAAGCACCTTGGTTTATTGGATGTGTTCTTACCTTGGCAGTTGTCATTTCCAGGGAGAGCCAGTCTCAAGGCAGACCCATGGACAGTGGGAAAATGGAAAGAGAGATTTCATAACTGCAGCTGGGCTGTAATGACTGGCTCAGACACCATCACAGAGGAAGCAGATCCAGTTACACAGAAAAAGGGGATGGGGAGGGAAAGTATTTGGGAAACAAAGACAATTTTAGAAACAAATAGAGGAAGCTTCTGTAGGCCAGTGCATAAGACTTGCTAAATAAAGCACATTATTCCTGGCAGTGACAGGGTGGCCTGAGGGGTTTGAGCAACCTCATCTGGTGTGTGGGACAGACAGTGGCAGTGGTCACATCATGGCACAGCTGCCACTCTTGCAGTTCTGTGGCTTTTAATGTCTCTTGCTGACCACCTCCACAGAGCCAAGGATTGTATTTCACCACAAGACACTGATGTAGCAAAGGCCAGAGTCAATTCCAGTCTCCACTGGACAGGAATTACCTGTGGAAGGCTGTCAGGGAGGGAAGGGATCCTCCAGAGCTCTCTGCAGAGAGCCTCAGCTGCTTTGCTGCAGAGCTGAACACAAAACTTGGTTCCCAGGAATGGAAATAGCTGTGCTTTGGGGAGCTGTGGCTTTCTTGCCTTTTCTAACTGGCTTTTTGGAAAAGAATAGTGCAAGTTGGACTTGATGATCCTTAAAGGGCTTTTCCAACCTCAACAATTCTGTGATTCTAAGTATGCAAGCCTGGGGCTGTCTCTTCATGCTGGTTTTTCATGTTCTTCTAAAATCAAATGTGTCAGCCTTTAATTTAGCTGCTCTGTAGATCATAAACTTAGTTTACAATAACAACATTTCAGCCCTCTAGAGCTCTGATACAAGTCTATGGTTTCTTGATAGTCAGGATAAACCACAACAGCAACAAGGAGTGTGCTGTGTAGGTATGAGAAAAATACACAACAAAAGAAAGTTTGTGGCAGGTTATTTTTCCTCTGAATGCCAAGTGAATAAATCTTCTCCTTTTTGTGTGTTTTGTTACAACAGATTTGCATTTTTATCGGAGAAACTCTTCTGTTCTCAAACTGGGCTATCACAGCAGACATACTAATGGTGAGTGCACTTTGGAACAGCCTCTTTCTGTGCTCAGAGCTGTTTGGCAACTTGCAAGAGCAACCTGAAGTTCACAATTTCTTCTAGATCCTATTCCCTACTTTAGCCTGTTCTGGTTTTCATTCTTAGTATTTTTACTTACTGAAAAGTGACATAAGGAGAAAGAAAGAGAGAAAAAAGATCCTTTGTTCTGAGCATCAGGGAGAGATGTCCAGAAAGGACAACATTTCTGAATTCAAATAATTTCCCAAAATTTTAAGTGTTTGTGCAAGACCCCACATGCAGAGAATTCAGGGAGCATTTCCTAACAGTCAGCATGGATGTGGGCTCTGTTAGCAATAACTCAGCTTTGTTCTGCAATAGGAAATCCTTCCCTCCCTCCTGTGACCACAAAGGCAGCCCATCTACCTACCATTCAACACATACACAATAGAAACCCACCTCTGGGAGAGCAGAGAGGAAAAGAAAGTATAAAGAATTTTTGGACCATGTTCACCTTGTCCAAGAGGAAACTGTCAGGGACTTTTCAACTCATGTCCTTCATTTTCTATTCTTTCTCCACCACAGAGCTTTTTAAGTCTTTCAAATCAGCAAGCTGACCTCAGCAGCCCCATTTTCACATGAAACAGTCTGGACATTTGTTCAAGAGCTCTGCATGTTTTGTAGAGGTTTCCATCAGAGCCCATCAAACAGAACTTGTGTTGAAGCCCTGTTGTGAAGGAGGTGTTGCTAATTGTATGAAAAGAAAGGCACTAAGGCACAGGACCATTACAGGACTTTCCTGAGGTCTTTTGTCAGCTTGTTGACAGAACTAAAAATATAATCAGTCTGGCATCAATAGAAAACTCCCTTGACTTGTATTTGCTGGTTATGCTAACACCAGCAAGGAAACAATCGGGTTCAGTATTCTGAGATGTAAAGATAATGGTGTTGATGTATTGGTTCAGCAAAGAACTTCAAGCCCCTGTGCTTAAGCTGTGTTTATGTTGAAGTTCAAGGTTGTGTTTATATTTTGAAGTAGCTCTGCAGTTGCCATCACTGCATTGCCTGATGAACTTTCCATCCTTCACTCCTTTGTGCAGGGAGCTCTTTGAGAGGTGGGGTGGGGTGGTAAAATCCACTCCTCTCAGTGTGGGTAAAGCTCAGAGAAACAAAGGTTGTCAGTGTACTCTGGTAGCCTTGGGTGGCTTTTAATGCCCAAGGTTCCTCCTGCCAGCTCTGTGGGGCTTCCCTGGGGCTTCCATGGGATTTTGCAGCTTGTGCTGAGTTCAAGGCTGCTGTGGCCATTCATAATTGGGATCTCAACACTTGCACAGATGTGCAGCCTGGAGACAGCTGTGCTGAGGAAGAAATGACAGTACAATGTGTGTAGCTGCTCATTCCTGCCTCCTGTCAGAGCTTCCTGTTGCATCCTGCCCCTGGCTGTGGTGTTCCCAGGAGCAATCCCAGCTCTCTCCACTCAGAATTAGTGGAGAGGTTTAAATAGCAGCTGGTTTATACCCTTCTTAACACTGGCTGGCACAGGTAAGGGCTCAGCTGGGGTGGTCCCAGCTGCCAGGAGGGAGGATCCTGTCAGACATGTTCAAGGTCTTCCAGAAAATCTGGGCCAGAGACAGACCTGAAATTTGACCTGTGTTGTCTCAAGGTAACCCCAAAAGATATTTTCAACCGACTGCTCTGTTCTATCAAGGGTATTAGGGCTACCATCATTGGCCCATTTAATTACAGAGGTTTTTGTGTTGATTTCAATGTGACTTCAATGTCCTGTGGCTTTTTAACAGCTTTTATAGGATTTGCCATCTGTCTTACCAGCATCCTATAGTCAGTTGCATTTTGTAGGGATGCATTTGCAGTTATTTATGTTGCTTTAGTGCAAAAGAGTTCCATAAGAAATGATTGGAAATAATAGCTCAATTTTCCAAAACACAGCAAAGAAACTAAAGCCATGTTGAAAAATGGATTTTGGTAATTGCTGCCAGCTTTTCAGCTCACTGTTCTCTGGTCTGTTTTGGAAAATGGACTAAGTGTTGTATATCATGCCCAGCTTGATGCATTAACAGCATGAGTGGATGTGTGAAAGTTTTAAAGAAATAAATGTAAACACCACTTAGATGAGGTCAGAGCTAGAAGCAGACAGGCTGGAGAGCAGACAGAGCACACAGGGGATGAGAGGGGGCTCAGGCTGACAATAGGTGAGAGCCAAGGCTACAGCCACGTTTGACAGACAGCTTGGTGGGAAGTCCTTGCCAGACAAAGATGTGGAAATGCTTTAGCAGATGCACTTTATATGTTTGGCAAATTAATTTTCCTGATTACTATTTATTTGGTGTAATCAGAAGTGTGTCTGCTCTTGCCTGAGGCTGGGAAGGAGTTTAAAAGCATTATTAGCCTAAGCTTAACAACACTTTCATCCTATACATAAATATTACCCTGTTTTCATGGATAAAAGCTCTCAATACTGCCTGAACACTGATTTCATTATGCCAGGAATGAGGCTTTTGGAACCTGCCTCCCAGATGATCTCTCACAGCTTTCCCAAGTTTTACAGATCCCATGATTGCTCAAGAATCCTATCGGGCAAGTTGTTAAGGACCTCCAGAGGCTTTGCAAGTTTAATTTCCGTGGCAAAACAAGGATGTTTGCTTATTATCTTCCAATTTAATTGTTGGCTCTTCCTAGCTGTGTGCTTGCATTGCATCCCCTGCTCCTGTTTTTTCTGCAGTCCAAGGTGCCAAGTGCTGGCTCTGATAAGCTGTCAGTGCTGCAGAGCTCTGCACTGCCTGAGATCCTGAAAGGCTGATATTTGTTCTGAATGCAAATCTGTACAAAACAGGTCTGATTCTCCTGAGCACAACTCTCCATATCTCCTCCCAGGCACATGCTCAGATGGTGCTTGGGGAAAGGGGGGATGTTTTGTATGGAGCTTGCTAATTATGAAACAGATTTCATCAGCCATCTTTGCAAATTGGCCTTAAAATTACCAGAACCCCAAAGTAGCATTAAAACTGCCTCATAACAGCAACAATGAATGAGCTTCAGTGCAGCAGGCAAGTGTGGAACACTCTGAGACATGTGCAGTGTGTGGGGCTTTGTGGGAATCTGGAGCTAATAGTGGGGGTTTCATCTATCCCACATCTCAAAAGCAGAGGTGATGGACAGCAGCTTGGAATTTTTGTGTAAGAGCCATGAAGCAATTTAAAGTGCCTCTATTTCAATCACAGTCTCTTTAGGACTTTGCTGAGAAAAGCCATCCTCCAGTTTATTCATAGTCCTGACATTCATGCAAAAAAATTGCTCTGCATATTTCTATTTTCTTTTAAAACACGAGTTCTTTCTAAATGGTCATGACCTGCCATGGAGAAGCTGCTTTGATGTTTTGTTATAAAGTCAGAGTCTTCCTTTAGGCTTGAAACAGGCACAGACTGGTGCTCAGCTGTGCCATAGGCATGTAGGAATGTTGCTTTTATTCTGATTACCTTCCCTAAAAATAAAACCCAGTTATTTATTTAGTACAAAATGCTGCCCTATTTTTATAGCCAAAGATAAATTGCATTTCCAGAGGTTCTTCTTGTTGTTTCTCAGAGTGTCTCCACACAATACTCAAGTGCTGCAGGTTAGATTTGAAGGCAGGGGAGGAATGCCTGGGAATGAGGGAGCACAGCCCACCCCAAACCATCCAAGGGCTGCAGGTGGAGGTGTTCTGCTCTGGGAACTGCAAACCACAGCAGCCTCCTTTCTCTTCATTTAGGAGCATTGTTTTTAGAGAGTGTCTGCCTGGCTTTTGTGGAGGGTCTCTCTGGATCCCAGCCTTGCCCTTTTCTGAGCAGCAGGGACAGCTGGGCTGTTTCCAGGTTCTGGCAGTGGCTGAACAGTGCCAGTGCATGTTTTCTTTGTCTTTGGTGCTGAAAGAGGCCAGTTTGAATTGTCCTGACCCAGAAAGGGCAGCAGAGTGCTTGAGAGAGTAGAGTTTCTATTCAAGCCGAGACATAAACATCAGAACTTCCCTCTTTGGCTCGTGGCCTTTTCCTGGGAGAGCAGTGATCTCTCCTGTGCTTTCCCCATTATCTTTTCTCAGACCATCTCCTGCTGGTTTCATCACAGGAAGGAGATGTCAGCAGCCATCCCTGGCCTTTCTGAACCTCTATTTAAAGAGCAGGGCTGCTTGGTCAGCCCCCCTGCCCATCCTCTGTGCTGCCTCTGAACCTGGAATCAGGGATGAGCCAGGGCAATCCCACAGGCTTCCTCCTTGGCTGCTGTGGCTCTCCCACCTCCAGTTTCTGTGGGATGTCCAAACCAGGCTGTGCATGGTTTGAATTTAGGTCTATTTTAGTATTGAAATGCCCATTTAGAGTTATAATTTACTTCTGTCTTCCAAGAACAGTAGATGTTTGCTACCAGCTGCTTCCTGTCCATCTGAACAAAATGGTTTTTTTAAGTAGGGATAGGGTGGAGTATTTTTTGTTGTTTTTTGGAGGTGCTGGTTTAAACTTTTTTTTTCTTTCTTTCCAATATGTTTTTCAAGGATATCATATTCATTTGCTTGCTACATGTTGGGTTTTTGCTTTGAGGGGGGCTTTGTCTCTTGAATTCCAGAACAAATATACCAAGTTTTTTGCACTTCATGGTGTTTCAGCTATCAATAACTTCTTCAGTTAAGCTGGAAACTGAACTCCTATTTGCAAAACTGTGTTTGCTTAATATAGCTACACATGCAAAATTATGTCTAATATATTCATATTAGAATATATTAGAGTATATTCATATATACAGATATATAAATGTGTATTCATGTGTATAAATATTTATATATGCATGCACACATATGATACAGCTATCATTAAGATTTCTTCCTCTTATTAGCATCAATTCACTGCCACTCCCTGAAAGTGGTAAATGTTTAATAAATGTGCCAGTTATTTTGTCTTTTTGCTACAAAAAATTGATAGAATACAGAACCAGGCAGATTATTTTCTCCAGATTAACATAAACTTTACAGAAAGAAAAAATATTTTAGGTTTTAAATTTTGTGTTTCACATTTATGCACAACTCTTGAATTAGGTAGAATTTCACTTTATCTACTCAGATGCCCTTTCCCAAAGAGCTCCTGCAGAATATTTCTCCACTGCCCCTGTGTGAACTGGGCCAGGTGGGAAGAACAAAAATAACTCGCTCTTAATTTTATTTTTTTCTTCTGTCTGGTCTATCCAGGTTGCATCCATTATCTGCCTCTTGGGGGAGTGGGAATGAATTGTGAGGCTGTGCTACTGTTCACATCCTGACCTTCAGCACATTTCTGTGTCTCTAATGAAGTTTAGAGCTAATCTTCCTCTTGGGATTTCTCCCTTCAAGTTGTGTTCTGAGATCCTGGATGCAAAAGGAGGGCAGGGCCTGACATCCACAGCTGGGTGGGTGCTCTGGATCTGAACATATCTTGCTCTTCTGTTGCACAAAAGAAGTTGAACAGGGTGCCTGCTTAATACATGGCATGAAAGTGCATTAGCAGTGTGCCTTTGCAGCTTTGTCAAAGCAGGGATGAAAGAACTGGCAGCTCATCTGATCACACATGGTAAACCCTAAGGAAAAGCATTTAATCTAATTTAAGTCATAATTCAGAATTGTCTGTGGTTGGAATGAGATGATAATTTTAAATAGGCATCAGTTCTCTTGTAGTGTGGATTTTCTCAATGCTCTTTATTTTGTTTCTGGTTCTCTGGTGATTCTTTCCCCTGCCCTGTGAGGAATAGTTCAAGCACTGCAATGTGCTTTAGTCCTGTGCCCTGAGTGAGTCCTCCCTGCCAGCCAGTCCAGGTAAAGGATCTCTGTGTATCTCTGGCCATTCCTGAAATGTCACATTTCATTTATAAATTATTTTGGGAAAGGATTGCAGGATCCTGGCAAGGCAGGAATTCTAAAGAAAGATGGAGGCAGCCCATCAGAGAGAAAGGGGATAAATAAAAGGGATCATGGTCTCCAAAGGGCTAAACAAGAGTCACTCCTGTCAGAGGCACAGCAAAAAGCACAGTGAGATCAGTGCTTACAGGCAGAAACAATGCTCACTTGGATTCAGAGACCTATTGAATTCTTCATTACTTCCAGCCTTTAAATCAAGACAGGATCAATTCATAAACTGGGATATGTGGACTTGATGCAGATGTCCTTAGCCAGTGTCTTTAACAATTTATGCCAGAGACAATTACTTTCCTCTGCCTCTAAAAAGTCTATTATAAAATTAAGGTCATTCCACAGGACAGGGAGTTGCTGGGTTTTTTATTTTTTAATTTTTCATCCCCTTCCGTGGTTAGGGCTCTGTTATCTCTGAGCTCTAGTCCCTTCATGGGGAAGTAATTTGTGTTTTCCACTGCTCCTGTGTAATCTGACTGATTCTGCATGACCTGGCTAAGGGTGTCATGTCCTATTAGAGGAGTGGAGGCCAAAATACAGGATCTTGGCTGTGGAAAATTTTCCTAAGGTGACTTTGTCACTTTCACAAATGGAATCACAAATTTTTGAGAAAAATGTGAAGTGGCTAGAGATGGAGTGGGAAGGGAGGCTGTGTGACCATGACCTTGCATACTGATGTGGATTGCTGGTAGTTGAGGAAACAAAACAACTTTTGTTGTGGAACAAAGCAAATTTCCCAGGTTGCAGCTCAGTCCTTGAGGGGAAGGCTGATGGTGTTGAGTGTAGGAGCATCGGGGGCAGGACGGTGGGGATGGACAGAGATCTCTGAAACCAGGGCTTGGAACTTGTGGTTTATTGCAAAGGGCCTGGGTGCAGGGCCCTGCTGGGAGCTGCCAGGCACAGCTCAGAGCAGGACTGAGAGAAATAAAGAGAGAGAAGGCAAGAGCCTGGTACAGAGGATGAGAGAGTGAGGTTCCCATTGCAATACCATAAATCTTCTTCTGTGTTGAATATTCTCATTCTCACTAACCAATCCAATCCAAGATACAAATCCTACAGCATTCACATACAGCCTATAAGAATCATTATATTACCATACTGTGTTACATTTTAAACCCTAAAAACTCCTCTTTGGGCCCCTTCTGCCAAGCTGTGGGGTCTGCTCTGACCCTTGGGCCTGTCTGCAAGCAGAGGGTGTTGTTCCATCAAAAGGGGATTCCCTTCAGCTGGCCATGCCATTGTTTTCCAGTTGTTCAGTAACTGAGGGATCTCAAAGCTTGCTTTCATTTCAATCTCACTTATAGTTTCCATATTCTCAAAATCTTTTCCCAAGCAATCATATTCATAAGGCTTTCCTGTTTCATCTTCCCCAACAGTTGAGCAACTTTAAATTTTATTCTTCCCATCAGCAAAGCAAAATGCAGTCTGAGGAGCAACAGCAAAGTGTCTTGTGGGCAAAGCTGATAATGCAAGCTGAGAGTGGAGCAGAGAGGGCAGAGCTTCCTCCCCTCAGCCCCTGCCAACAGAGCAGGAGGGGTTTCTGTGGCTCCCAGCTGCCTGAGCCAGCCATGGACTGGCCAGTGCTCTGTCTGGGTAGCTGGTTTGTTTTGTGCTGCCCTGAGCAGTACAAGGCAGATGGGCAGGTTCTTATTTCAGCTTCTTTACCTGTTTTTGTTTCTTTCCCCTTCTCTGCAGTACGTGGTCATTCCAACTCGCCGTGCAACCGCAGTGGCCTTGCAGAGTTTCACTTCACACCTCCTGGGAGATGCTGGCAGTCCTTATCTCATTGGATTTGTAAGTGCTCACAGCAGGCTCTGGCAGGGTTTGCTCTGGTTTCCAAACTGCTCATCTGAAATGCCAGGTTAGGTCCTGCTGGGAAGGAAGGCCTGTGTTTGTCAGCAGAATGGGAAGTGCTGCAGAGCAGTGCCACTTTCTTTACCTGGTTGGGTTGTTGTGACCTGCAGTTCAAGCCAGGGGGGACTACTTGGGTGTGGGAAATGAGCTTCCACATCTTTTTAGCCTGAGGTGTTTCCAGCTCTGGAAAGAGAGAGTGTTCTTGCTGTGGTGTGGACATGGGGCCCAGAGAAATTAGGTTGGAAGAGAGTCATGTGTGTGTTTAGCTGTTAACTGACCTCAGAAACCAAATACCTGTTTGTTTATGGGCAGCAGCACACAGCTGTACCTGCTTAGTGTGACAGTAAATCACAGAACCACAGAATATTCTGGGCTGGAAGGGACTGACAAGGATCATGCAGTCCAGCCCTGCACAGACACACCAACAATCCCACGCTGTGCCTGAGGGCAGTGTCCAAACTCTCCTGGAGCTCTGGCAGCCTTGGGGCCATGGCCATGCCCTGGGGAGCCTGGGCAGTGCCCAGCCAGGGCTTTTGTTAGTGCTCTTTCCTGGGGTGTTCACTCTGGGTTCATTTCTGTGACTGCTTCAGTGGCCTTGGTCTGACTGAGGATCTCCCTTCCTTTGCCACCCTTATCCTCCTGCAGAACAGAACAAGAGACCCAGCTCCAAAACCTGGCACTCAGAGAGAGAACAGCTGAAAATAAATACCCTGGGAAGTGTAATGAGGAAAAGAAATCTGGATATACTGGGGAAATGTCTTTTTCCTTCAGTGGAGTTTGCTGCATGGAGTTTCAGAGATCACAGATCATCATTTATAAAATATAGCAGCTTCCCCAGAAATCCATAAGCGACCCTGTTCCTGGTGTGTTGAAAGTGCTGCTTCCCAGGGATGTAACTGGGATCTTCACTGGTCCCATCTCCTGAGAGACAGGACTTTGATGTGCTCCTCCAGCTCACACAGAGCTGCTGGGTGCTGTGGGGCTTTTTTTATTTTTTACAACCATCATTGCTCATCTATTCATCCTGTAGACACCAGTGTGTGTAGCTACACATATTTATTTATATATTCTTAATTTTGTGAGTATATCTGTTTAAATATACATCAATGTTTACTTTTGAGTGGCAGTGCTGTGGCTGCTCTGTAGCCCTCTGAAGCACACAGGAGAAGGCAGATACAGATAAGACTGAGAAGACCAAAGAAATGAGAAATCTCTCAAGAGAATAAAAATGCACAATTTAGCTTAACTCCTTATTTACTTCAATGTTCTGGGCACCTGGGGAGAAACAATCTTATTTTAGAAGTTATTTGAAGGTGGCAAGAACGAAGGAATTGCAGGAGAGGCTGCTTCATGCAGGGCAGGATGTGGGGAGTGTGGGAGAGGAGAAGGAGCCAGGCAGGGCTGGGGCAGGCCAGGCTGCCTCAGGTGACTGCTGCATGTTCCTCCTTTCCCTTACAGAAGAGGGATGTCCACGAGGAATTCCTAGGGCCCTGAATGATTGCAATTATTCTTGAAAGTTGCATGGGGCTCTTTGATGTCATAGATTAAAAATAAAAGGTCTTTGGTTGTAGAAATAATGTGCCTTGCCCTCCTGGTATTCAGAGATCAAGCAAGTTGTGAGTTACTTAAGGATTTCTGGCTGAAATATGTAGAGCCCCAGTTTAATAGCTGCTTTAGGCTTTCTTTAGACTGGGAAAATATTCGTTATTATTTTTAATTATTTCTGAATTCTTCGTTATTATTTTTGAATTATTTTCCTTTTCCAATGCTGTAATTGTTGGGCAGTTGTGATTTGGGAGGAGGTGAGGCAGGTCCAAGGCTCTGTGCAGCAGAGAAGGAGTGAGGCCCTCATGCCATGATGGAGCCAGCATCCCTTTGTGCAGCCTCTTTTCTGGCTGGGCTGATTCATCCTCCCCCTGTACCAGGACTGAAAGGTCAGCCACAGCTCCACATAACACAGAAAGCAAATACTATTTAAAGTGAAAGGACAGCCAACTTCTGCACCAGAGCTAAGGCAGGCACTGACCCTGGGTGTTAGAAACCACAGGAATTGTCCAGCTGCAGTGCAGGATGGAGAAACCCCATGCAGCACTGAACCCCAGCTGGGCAGGCTGCAGAAGGGGCTCAGATTCTGACCAGGATTTTCAAGGCAGTCTGTGAGGGCTGAGGAACCTGCTTCTGCTGGATTTCAGGGAAATTTGGGAACCTGATTCCCACAGTCCTTCTGGGAATCCCCACCCTGAGGGCATCAGCTCCCAGTGCTGTGACTCCAGACTCTTCACAAGGCAGACCAGGAGCAGGGGAAGGTTTTGAAGGAGAGCAGCAGAAGGCCCTGGAGGTGTCCAAGGAAGGATTGGATGTGGCACTCAGTGCTCTGGTCTGGTTTACAAGGTGGTATTCAGTCACAGGTTGGACTTTACCATCTCAGAGATCTTTTCCAGCATTAATGATTCTGTGAGCTGCAGTAACAGGCAGGCTCAGAATGGGTGAAACTCAACCTCCTCATCACTTGGGTTCACCTGGGATCTGCTGTGTCTTCCAACTGCTTACAGAATTCCCCTGGAGTTCCCCCACTAGATGATCAGTGCTTTGATCAAACATGGCTGGAATCCTACATGGTTTGGATGAGTTAATAGTGAGATTCCTTCCAGCAATGCTCTTAATAAAGAGCTGGGCACCCTTGTCCTTGTAGGACCGAGCTGTGGCAGGCAGTTATCTCTGCTGGATACCAATAAAGGTGGTATTGATCTTAAAATCCCTGTATAAAACACAGAAGGTGCTGATCAGCCACAGCCTCAGGTGTGCAGTTGCTGCTGTGCTCTGTGGTGTGTCCTGGAGCTCAAGGTCACACTCAGACTTTCTGTCACTTCACTCCATTCCAAATCTTGCACTGCAGCTCCTTAAACCACCCCAAGCAGCAAATACACATTAGTGCTTAAAAGCTGAGTGGCAGGGAGCACATATGTGTGGCTATTTTTCATGTCTCTTTAAATATTGATAACTTCTATTGTGGTAAAAAGGCTTAAGATTGACTTACAAAGGAGTTATGCAAATACAGCTTTAGGGTGGCAGCTGCAATTTGCATAAAGCTTTACTACATGGCAAGCTCTGAGATCATTTACTGTAAATCAGCACTGCCTGCTTATTTCCAAATAAGAATAGATATTGCTGCAGAAGTTCAGTAGATGAGACAGCTTTTATTCCTAGAGAGCTGCAGTTTTTTTCAAGATCTTTGTGATAACCAACCTGTGGTTTAAATAACTCCTTTTTAACACCTCCAGAGTCACTCCACACTTTATTCTTGAGGCAGTAGGTGAGAAATCTCACCTGCTCAGTGCATTGCACCCAAATATGTGTAGTACTTTTCTGTCTCTGACCACTCCCACGATTGCTGGAGCACAGAAGTGTGAAGAGAAATGCCCCAAATCCCACCATTACTGTTGAGTATCAGATAAAGGTCTTCAACTGCTGCCCAGACAGCATTTCAGACTCAGAAGAGCAAGTGGAGGGAGCTGGCAGCAGCACATGAAATAGTTAACTCTAGTCAGGCTGCATCACAACTCCAGCTCTTTGTATCACTAACTCTGGTTTGATCTTGGTTGCCCTTTAAAATAAAACAGTTGTAAGTCCATGCTCCTGTGTCCATCTGTGCACAGGCATGAACCTGTCTTCCCTGCTCAGGGTTTACATCATCCTTCTCCTTGTGTCCCCCTCCACTCCCTGACTGCTCTTCTGCTTCTGGAAATCTGAATGCAGGCAGAAGGAGAGTTTTATTTCAAGGCTGTGGCTTGGGACTTTTTCTTTCTTTCCTTTCTTTCCTTCCTTTCCTTCCTTTCTTTTCTTTCTTTCCTTTCTTCTTTCTCTTCCAAGTCTGTAATTTGCTGAGCACTTTGCCCTTCCACCCTTGCCTGTGATGCCAACTGCAGGACCTGCTGCAGGAGGTGCTGTCCCTGTGTGCCAGGCAGGTGCTCTGTGGGCACACACTGCCCTCACTGCCCTGCTGCTGTTTGCTTCAGCTCCCTCCCATCTCCTCTGTGCAGCTGTTCAGAAGGTCTGAGGATGAAAACCAGTCTGTATCTCCTTGTCCCCTGGCCACATCAGCCTGTGAGAGGCTGTTCTGAAGTGCCAGAGGTTGCTCTCCTCCAGGAGCACCTTGGATGGACCAACACTGCTCCCTGGACTCCTCTGATGGTGGCTCCCATCCTTCCTGCCCTCCTGGGCTGTTCCAGTTTTACTGGAGGGACACCACCTCCAGCCTTGGCACCTTCCACTTTTCTCCTTCCCCAGCTTCCCTCTGAGCAGGTTGATAAACCTAATGAGCTATTTAAGCAGCAAGAATACTAATGACCTTCCTTTAGCAAGTAGTTAGCAGAGCAGTGTTAATTATCCCTGGTGCAGAGTATCAGGGCAAGCAGATCAGAATTTCATTAGGGGCAAGGCAAGAAAAACTGTGGTAAATGCAGCAATTAAGATACTTTTTAATGAAAGTTATACCTGGAGGTGCAGATTTCACAGAGTCTTGGCCCAGTTTGAAACAGCCTTTTTGTTGATTTGGTTTGAAGGAGTTTACCTCACCAAGGATATCTGTATGGAAAGTAGCTCTATGTGTAAAGACTTGCCTGCCTGAGGAAGCAGAATTAATGTATTATGGTTTAAAATTTATATTTTATGGCTTAAAATGCTATGGCTGCTTCAGAGTAGGACATGCTTACTCTGGAAGGACATTTTTTCCAGCTTAGTTTGCTAGACTAAAACAGACCTCAGCCCACTGGGAGTGAAATCCACTTCTGTCTGACTTAAAACCAGGGTATAGCAATGAAGGGTGGGGTTGGGATGTGATGCTGCAGTCTGGGTGTTCTGTCCCTGGGTGACCCATGCAGCCATTCCTCAAACATGGCCCATTAGGTGCCTGCTGGGGGTTACACAGCCCTGTCCCTCCT